ATATAAATTGCGTACCACCAATTATATATATAATTCCGGGAATTATATAGTGACGCAAATTATATACAACATATACATCAAATCAACGCACAATATTAAATATTCGTTAAATTAATACATTTGATCGACAAGTAATTACTTTTCACTAGTTAACTTCGTTCGATACGTCTTCATTGGGATTGATGTCCTCAATTTGCATGGAGCCGCTTGACTCAGTTTCCGACGCGGTGGTACTTGAGAGGGTGGTGGAATAATTGACAAGTTTTGGTTTTTTTTTGGTGGGGGTGACTGTTCTGCGATGCTTCGGACAATAGTAGCCCGACGAGACGACGGAGGAGAGACTGCAGTGTTGGTGTCGTTGGAGGTAGTATTTTTCGGAATAACAAACGTCACATGTTGCAATTCACAATATATAAAATTGTTAGCGCCTTCGATTTTTACTCGAGAGCCGACATTATAAACTTTTGTACGATTTAATAGACGTTTGATTTTTGTTGAATGAAAAGGCTGTTACTGTAAAAGGTTGGTATGTACCTCCTGTATTAGTCTTTACATACTGTGAAAGACTTACGCAGCCGTTTCCGTAATGTTCGGTTTACTAGCAATCGTACCAATAGCTGTTACGTAAGTAAGTAAAATCATGAGGGATGATGGATCCAGAGAAATTTTGGATCTTCGGGATAAATTGAATGTAATATTTTCGTTTTCACTTTTTTTTTTGATCCAAAGACATGATGCTTTTGTAGATAGACACTTAAAAAGAAGTAAATTGTAAAAAAGTTGAAGAGATTTTTGTTGTGATAAGGATTTTGGGATGTGAAATTTACAGAACGTAAAGTTGATCGTTCAGGTAGGGTTTTATATATTCTATCAGAAGAGATATATAGCGCTTGTCCGTTTAATTAAATTTTGAGACATTCATTTGTGTTGTTAATCTTTTCTTTCTTATTGGTGCCTTTCGTTGACAGATTGATAGGTTTACTATCGGCATAAACGATTTGTTGGTTATTTTTGGGTAAATGCGATTGATCAATGGACAATAAAAGTGGGCTTTCGTTTCGAATTGTGTGTCATGCGTTTACGATTTTCCCAAATAGCTAGTAGCGTATACGATGGAACGTGAGATATTTGAAGGCTAAACTTTAGTGTTAAATGATTATGTATTTTGTTGGTGGCTTACGCTGAGAGCACGCCTTTTCCGAACAGTTGGTAAGTTTAGTGTTGAATAGCAAGCCAAAACCCGATTATTATTGGTGATTTGGAAAACAAACAGTTGGTGCATACGATGGAGACGTTTCTTTTTTTTTATTTACAAAACAACAGCCGATACATTCGTGCTGACAAATCAATGACCTGTTTATTCTTTTGGGGCTTGATGTAAAGTCATTTAAGTATTAGGCTGGTAAATGTCAATGTGTGCACGGGGGTATGGCTAAATCCCTCAATATATGGGAAGATCATTGCCATCACTGGAACAAAGGAAACCTGCACTTCTTCTGTAAAGTCAAAGTTAGGGACAACCACATCATTCTGTTGAAATGATGTTACTGAATCATCGGGAAAGCAGTAGGCTACACAGACATTTCTGATGTATCATTTATTTGTAACAATCGGTTGCCAAGAGTAGAATAGCTGCGAAGATAGAGATTGTTTTGTTGGAGCCAATTTACTGCAGGTTGTAAAGAATTATAGATACCAACGGTTGTTATTCAACGGATTATTTAAGTTTTCAAGGAACGCATCAAGCATTCCTGAATAAAGCGTTAGGGTTCTTAAATTTTTGGAAAGGCCCATTGTACCCACTATAGAACGATATTCAGTGTATGCATTAGCGTTCGTTGATCTACCCAGACTAAAATGGGAGAAAGATATTTTCTTTTTCATAAGGTACATCATTAATTGCTTGAGGAATTTGGGCAAGGCGCGGAAATTGTAGTCTTGTTGATGGTAGTTTGCAGCTATTGAAAAATCGATGGATATAATTGGAACAAAGCATACGTTGACAGATCTTCCTGTACTACAGATAGCCTTTCCTGGATATAGAAGTTGGCCACAGTATACGCAAGGAAGACAAGGAAATTGATTGTAGTGGTCATTGAATAGTTGAAAAAGCTTTTTTTGAAGACGGCGAGAAGGTTTCCGTGCAGGGATGGTATTAATAAACAATTGCCGATGAATATTAGTTGGGAGATGTGCGAATTGAGTCAAAGCGAAAAGCGTCAGGTAAAAAAAGTGTACGATGGTACATTTAAATTAGAAAAGTATCAATTTCTTCATAGTTAGCAAATGAGTAAATATTCAGTATAATGTCAAAGCAAATTCTTTGGTGCAATAGAGTGAAACAGAAAGTATCTGTTAAATATGCTTGTATTTATATGCTTGCGTAGTTATGGTAAATACTTTTAGTTAGCGAATCGTATATTGCCAATATTATATTCACAATTTATATGAGTTTTTTTGTAT